AACACAAATGTAATCTAATATTTTTCTACATAAATGTCCCTACAATATCATCCTTGGAGTTTGAGAATCCTATTCTTCTCTGCCGCATTCTATACGATAATGGTCCCATATCAAAGGAAGGTAAAAGAAAATAATAGTGTAATTTTTAATCACGTAGACACGTACTATTATTTATTGTATATCAATCTTCTATTATATCAGACTATCAATTGATGAATATATTAGATCCTACTAAGAGGACTGATTTGTTTGCTTTTATAACTACTAGTATGTAGCCCGCGCAATGCACGAGTAGATAATATTAAATATATCACAATTATAAATTAAAATTTATATATAATCATAATTATAAATTAAAAATATGAATAAATAATATTAAATAATAATTATAAATAAAAAATATGGGTTAACATGTGATGCAATTTACTTATATCACATTGTTGTAAATGATTTGTAATTATCTTGTATAAAAGAATATAAAACATGTACATTTAAAACATTGAAAACACCTAAAATATTAGATAACATATGTAAAAGTATCTAATATATCCCTCCATGTATATTAATTCAAAACGTGCTGAGTCTAAGTGGCTAGCTTGCATGCTTCGGGTTCCTATGCAGCAAAATTATATGGTTCGTTATTAGGCTAGTGTAGATTTTAATTACTTTCAATCCAAGAATAATTAGGTTAGGATTATCCATAAATATATTGATTATTTATGGTCATGTTACATGTATTAATTACATATTAGTATCATTTCTTATTATAACAATTGAATCGTAAATATATTTTAAAAGTTAATAACTTTTTATTTTTTTATCAGTTTTACATATATAATATATCAAATTAATCATCTTTTGATGAGCTTCGACTTAATATCCATATTGTAGGTATAAAAAAATAAATTACATTTATCTTTATAACAATAATAAAATTGTTAACTGTAGCAAACAGGACCCCCTCTCGCTAAATTTTCCAATAACTCTCTACTGAATTGCGTCGCTTTCCTCGGCGGCGGAGCGGAGCCGGCCGGTGGTCGCGTTCGACCGCCGTCCCTCCTTTGCTATCTCGGACCTCTGGTGTTGCCGTGATGTGTTTGTGTTTGTTGGTTTGCCCAACCCTAGTTCGCCGGAGTCACAACGATTGGAGGAGGCGAGCTATTAGGTCGTCAATCGGATTGCAATTGGCGCATCCAGGTCTCGATTGGAGGTGAGTCCCCCTCCAATTTATGCCTCTGTTCCTGTCTCTGTATCTGCGTACGAATGGAGGGCCTCGGGCGGTTCCTTTTTTTTTCCAGCGAAGCTCCGTTTGGGGTTTTCTCATTCGAGTCCCAGTGCCGGTGGTCTGCAGTGATGCTGGCGGGTTTGTGGGTAGTGAGGCGGGGTGGGGCTCTGATGGTGTGTCGGGGTTGAGGGCTCTGATAGTTGCGAGTTTGTTATTCTAGCTTTTGCTAGGTTAGGCTCTAGACGACCCTTTGGATCTGTCTCCCAGTTTTATCAGTCTTTGGTTGTACTATTCAGCATTTGACTTTTTTTGCCCACTTTGTGCGGTTTATTTATATAATATATCTATCGTTTTGAGAAAAAAAATAATAATAATAAAATTTTTGTTTAATATTAATTAGAAAATAAAATTATTTATCAACATATATTTATATTTCAAGTAGTGATATGATATTAGTTATAAATTAATATAATATAACACATATAAGTCATACAAATAACAAGTGTCATTCTAAAATATATAATAATATATAATTTTTGTAAAAAAGTAAATAAAATTCAAAATAATGTTTCTCATTAATTTTAAAATTTAAGAATAATTTTTTAACAAGCACCCGTGTAATTCACGGGTATTGTACTCGTTCTATATTATTCTTGAAAAAACAACTAAAATATTATATAACATATAACCATATCTAAATTATTATATATTATTCTTTAAACATGTGAAATCGCCTATCAATTTTCTAAAGTTTTTTGTAAGAAAACATGTCTGAATTTTATGAGAGAATAAAGATATGAAATAAATATATACGACTATAAAATTATGTTATCAGTTCGACCATATAAAATTATGTTATCAGTTCAAAATATTTTGAAAATTTGTTTTTTTACGTTTATGCATATTAAATATTTAGCACCAGAATTATCATAAAAAAAAGTTGTGAGTATAAAATATTTTCAAAATAAATGCGTGTTGATTTATGCATAATAAATATCTGGATACCAGAATTATCATAAAAAAAAAGACGCGAGTATAAAATATTTCGAAAGTTAGTATGTGTAATAAATATTTAGATACCAGAATTATTATAAAAAAAAAAAAGATGTGAGTACAAAATATTTGGAAAATAAGTTTATGCATAATAAACATTAGGACGATTATTGAGAAGCAGGGTCACAAAATTCAGTATAATATTTTTTTTCAAAGTTGTTAGCATAAATAAAGGATTGCATGCGCCGAAATTTGTGCATCAAATTGAATAATTGTTTATTGTATTTTTGTGCTTATTTTCGTGTGATTTATGTGTTTTAGTTTAGTGTTTTTAGGTTCGGTTTTGTGTCAATCGGTCCATTTTGTCGTGTTTTATGTATTTTTATTTTTATTATGTGTTTTTGTATTTTTGGTCGTTTTCTTGCGTATTTTTTGTGTGTTTAGGTCCGCATTGCTCGAGTATGGGAAGAGGAGTCATTTTCAAGATATTTGCGAGCCATCCGAATCATAGCCTAGCCGTGATTCAGCCATTCGAGTCATTTTCAAGTCAAGATGTATGAGTTATAGCCTTCCTTTACATTAGGCGCACTCGCCGCGAAATATGGTTCGCGAGCCGCGAGTCAACCTCGAGCCACTCGCGGCCAATTTCACTTCGCAACATGCCAAGCACCCAAGGACCCTTGCCCAGCACTCGCCCGCGAACGGCAGCTCGACCAGCGAGTTTTCCTCACCCAGGACCGCCACACTCGCTGCCAACATGCATTCGCGACCCGCGAAGAGGCAGGCGCCTAAGGCTGGAACTCGCAGCGAACGTTCACTCGCGACCCACCAAGCGCGACCCTGCGCATGCACTTAGCCACACTCGCAGCGAACTTCAGTTGACGACCCGCGAACATGCAATTTCAGTTCATTTTCACTACAAAA